GATTTGAATATAGCTTTAGGTTTAGGTTTCATGGATTTTGTCTGGAGACAAGATATTTCTTTTAGCTGCATGAAAAATCCCAAATATTTTTTTTTTAGATTTAAAACTCCGAGCGTGAAGTGTCGTTAACAAAAAGCACCTTCTCACAACGCCGGCAATGTATAATTTCTGATATTTCAACAGTTAGAAGGAAACATTTATTTTTCGAAAGAATGGTCATCATTTCTTGGATTTTTCCTAAGACCACACAGAAATTTTGAAATAAATCTGTACATGTTATGTTCAAAGTACCACATTATAATTTATTGTTGACCCTGCGTACCTCAGTTTTGCAAAGTTCAAAACTAAGGTACGCAGGATCAACAATAAATTAACGTGGTATTTTGAATCAAACACGCAGCTGGTCAATGGCTCTATCAGTATGATCCCGTCCTGGTTTTGGTATCGGAACAACTATGCTGGTAACTCCCGTATTATGTTACAGTCACGGCATATCATTATCACTGAGATGCTAGTAATTTCGAATCATAAATCCTTCTGGTGTCATTACGCTGTTACACCAGCTACAATTGCTTAGTTTATATGAATGGAAATGCGAAAGAATTTGGATTTCATTGAATAAAAGCGACAAAACTCTTTCCATATACATGAGAAATCTCTGCCATAAGCAGAAGCAACACAATTAATTGATAATAGATATAAGAAATCTCCGCTTAAAGAACCTGGTGTTCGCGAAAAGGTGAGCATATCTCTCCCATCGTTGACATTCGTTACAAAAACATACACCTGGAAAGGCAAGTCAAATATCATTTAAAGAATGTTTTGATGTTCGTTTTTTTAACGCACGCCACTTTTCCAGGTATTTAAAAGATGTATGTAGATCCAACAACCCAGTGATTGATATCATGAGCACCTGTCTACGCAAATGGGATACGATAACATACATCAACCAAATCAGCAAGCCTAATCACCTGGTCGCGTCAGTTGCCCGAAGACCAATTCTAACGATAATTCACAAGGGGAAAGAAGAAAAGGAATTGCATCGGACATACCTTTGGTGACTTAGGTGTCAAGTTTGAAAATGTCCTCCACAAGTCTACAATAAATCGTTTTGGAAATGTTACTAAAGCATTGCATGTTGTAACCCTGATCAGATCAACATTTTGAGCAAGAAACGTAAGGAATCTTTGTAGTTTTGAAAGTCGTTCCTAAATTATTCATTGTGATAATTGGTGCTGAAACAGATAATCAATAAAAATGAAACAGTATTTCTCTCCAGATTAAATGTTTGTGATGGACATTATTCAGTCAGTACGTGTTAGTGCCACATTAAAGACGCATATTGATCTTTGTTATCCATTTGATCTGACTGTTGATCAACAGTTTTACTGACGTGTGTGTGTCAACATAATATTTATTGGTACATCTTTGAATCTGCGTTACTAAAACGTTCGTAAATAAAACGTGCTTACATTACACGATCACCACAAAAGCTCATGTCCATCATTTGAGTTGCAGTTAATGACTACATAGAAATGGGAAATCATTTGTATTACAACCATGAACACTGATTGGACATATTTATTATGGTGTTAGAAGTCACAGTGAGGTATGTGTGAACAATCACAAAAGGAAGCAAAATCTATAGCAAAGCTGTGGCCTGCCATTTGAATTAGGACAATCACATTTCTCTAAATACTTGGTGCTATAGTTAGGAGTTGGAGAATAATCGATAATGACAAGAAACTCATAAATCAACTATAATATTCAAGCGTTGATACCTCAGCAACATGACCTTATTTTGAGTAAAAAGATACGGAAAACTGATATTATCACATATGACAGCATATTATCAAAAAATCAAACATATAACTGAACATCTGAAAACAAATAGGTACCGTTAGGTTATCTCCGTAATCGGACATGAAGAGAGGGGGTTAGACTGGAAAGTAGGCGAGTGTTCGAGTGAGTGAGTTCGGTTTAACGCCGCTTTTAACAGTATTCCAGTTATATCACAGCGTGTCAGCTTAATGTGGGAGGAAAGCCCGAAGTGATGCAGGTGTCAGACGTTTACCACTTCGGTGAAACCCACGAGCACTGGTATGATGCTGACAAACCTAGAAACATAATTGGGGCGAACCGGGATTTGAACCCACAATCATAGGTTTCTGCATTGCCCGCAATGTAGAATATCTTAAGGCCGACGTCATATTTCTTGGCTTCAAGTGACATTCACACAGATATGTCGCTTAGAGACCAGTTATACAAAAGGAATGACATTTTATTTTGTCAACTAACTGAGAGTGATCAACATGAGCGTGTATGGTGATGGTGTGTATCGTATTATGTACCATTTCCATAATTATAAGAAATATTTGCTACAAGCAGTCCATTATACGATTCTCACTTTATTATGAGTGAGTGAGTGAGAGAGTTGGGTTTAACGCCGCTTTTAAAAGTATTCCAGTTATATCACGGTGTGTCAGCTTAATGTGGGAGGAAAGCCCGAAGTGATGCAGGTCTCAGACGTTTACCACTTCGGTGAAAGCAACGAGCACGGGTATGGTGCTGACAAACATAGAAACATAATCTGGTCGAACCGGGATTCGGACCCACAATCATAGGTTTCCGGCGTGCCCAAGGGACGCAACTCTGCACAGCGAATCGCGGCGCCTTAGACGACTGGGCCACCCGTGCCCCCACGAGCAATTTTAAATGTAGATATGATGATAAACGAAATAATTTATACGGGGCAACTTTGTCTCATCATCAAGTCGTGTCTATTGAATCCAACCATATTATATTTCCTTGGTGCCAAATACTAACTCCATTCCAACTGCTTCATCAACAGCAATTGCTTTTTTTCAGGAAATGTTCCTGGCGGCAACCCATCAACTGATGAAAGAGGAAACCAACTTACTGGCAGATAGACCTACGGGGCTCCACGTCCTCACCTTTAAACGTGCTTGGGATCATGGGGTTTGCGGAGCTGCAGTACCACTGGCAGCTATTAAAACAATGTGATTGTAAGTGACCAGGCTTTAAGGGTGGCACCGTGTCCACCAGTGCTGTAATGAAGTGTAGTAAACGGAGTTTCTATGTTCATGCAATTACCCTTTGTACAATTTCGTTTTTGTGCACATAAATACGCTCATACCACGTATTAACCTTGCTTGTTTGTTGCTTTACGCCACACTCAGCAGTATTCCAGCTATTTGACGGTGGTCTGCAAATATTCGAGTCTGAACCAGTCTGTTGGCGACTTTCCTCGTGTTATTGTTATGTACAGTTGGTCAATGATGGATACCATTGACAAGTTGTTGTGCTTTGCAGATGGATCAGGCAGGCTTGGATGTGAATATGAAGAGTTTCAAAACTAGAATGCCATAAAAAAATGCCTAAATTGCCTGGAAATAAATTCATACTAGTATGAAAAAAACGGGCAAGCAAGAAAGGGAAAGGAGCACAAATGATGATGCCTGCTTCTTGCTTAAAAGGCATGTCCCCAAATTTCACACAGATGTTATCAATGAGGAAATCCTGCATTTCACATTCTGTTTCAAAGAAAACAGCTCACGGATGGATAATGTGATGGTCGACCATTTTTCAAACCAGGAAATTCCTCTGATTACTTCTGCATGAATATATATGAATGTTTTCGCTAAGCTCCTTTGCAGCATAACATATGTAGCATATAAAAGGCATGATTGATATGTTCATTGGACATGTTTTCAAACCATTGGCCCTCATGATACAGCTTGGATATTACTGGAAGGAGGCATATATAACATTCTTTCACAACCTCTAACGGTTCCCTCCCATAACGTAGACCCCCAAAATGCAGACCTCCCAAAAAGCTGTTAAAATTAGCTCACTTATTAATTGGGCCATGCTGGTCACACCTAATTAATGAATGGACTGGTCCACTCCCCTGCTATGAGGGATTATCAATATGTTGAGACAATGAGCAGTAGTGGACAACAACAACATTGTCTTAAAAAAACTCCTCCTTTCTTTAATCTGCTCCCTCCCGGTACATCACAAATCTTATTCAAACATTACTTTTAAACAAATTGTGGGATTTGTGTAAGAATATACCAAATGTTCTCAATCACTAATACTTCCTTCTCTTGTGTATGGTGTAACATATAAATATATTTGAACATGAGCTTCAACCTCGTCCAATTAAGCTGTGGCCGGACTTACGAAAGTTGAGTATGTCTTGTCCCAGAAAGGTGCCCCACAAGTTCTCGTGGACGGCTACACGTATGCTAAGAACAGGACGAAGAATGAAAATGTGTACTGGAGGTGTGTGAACAGATCTTGCAGTGGCAAGTGCACCACAGTCAGAGACTACGTTCGCGGCACGTCAGAACACAACCATCCACCTAGTGATGACCGAGCAGTGAGATTTGTCAACGCCATGAGGAAGAGGGCCAGAGACAACAGACAACACCTATGCAGCAAATCTACAACGACCTCATCAGCCAACAGGAGGACGACTTGGTGCCGCATCTGCCGTCCTTCCCGAGTGTGAGTAACGCCATGTATCGCCACAGACGACAGAACATCCCTCCATTGCCGAGGTCAAGAGCTGAGGTGGACCTTCCAGATCAGTTGACAGCGACACAAGATGGAAGAAGATTCCTGTTGTTTGCTGATGGAGAGGACGACAAGATACTGGCGTTCTGCTCCGAAGAGACTCTTGAAGCACTGCAGTCCGCAGATAAAATCTTCATGCATGGAACATTCTCTACCTGCCCTCCTCTGTGAAATCTACCCAGCTTTCTTTCCTGTTACATGGGTGATACCATTTTACTTAATCAAGGGTACAGGGTACTAATTACTGATGCAACCAGCCATAACGATTGTTGTTTACGGGTCTGCATTTTGGCAGGTCTACATTTTGGGAAGATACCCCTCTAACAAAGGCTTAACCAGTCATTAATTAATTAATCACAGTAACCATGACTGTGACGTAATAAACATGAATGTTAATGAGCATCAAATTTACTTTATTGTGTACTTCAAAAATACACATCATAGCATTATGGAACGATTAGCACCACCCGGGGCTCCAAGCGTCTCCATACTTTCTGGGGTCAGATGCAGGATCCTGTCTGGGGAAATTGGCTGGCACCATCGTCTTCTTGTACTCCTCAAATCGGGCACGCAACTTAGCCACCATGTCCGGCGTCTGCTGTGCAAGGTCGTAGTGCTCAGTCGGATCCACTGGATATAGATCAGAGTATTTGTTTACAAGGGCCAGAGAGCTCATAGCAATATGATTTCATCTTGATATGTAGCTCTGGTCTCTGGTAACAGTATGCAGTATGTGGACTGGGTGAGTCAGCCAGTTGGGTTTTACGCCGATTTAAGCAATATTCTAGCAATATTACAGTGGGGACAGAAATGGGTGTTCACACATTGCACCTAGGGGTGTGGGACCCGGGTAGTAAATGTTGACTCGTCCCAGCCCTACCGTCTGTCCAACCGTTCCTCAATTACTTAGTACTGAAATTCAAAAAGCTTTTTTCAAAACTATTGAACGTATCAATATATCGCTCCCAAATATGTCCCATATGACTCTGGTCACAATAATGTATAATATATACAACCCAACAAAACAATTGAATCATGTTAAACCCCAGTCTACCTCACAGGAGTATGTGTGTGACGGATAAGTTTAATGACAACCTAAAGCGAACCGGGTATTTGGTTCTACTTGGTATTGAATGCACACTATTGGGGATCTAGCCATAACCAAACACACAGTAAGCTGGTCATTGGGCAGAGCATATATGTGCTGATATTTACTGTGGAGGCAGTGAGGAGATCTTGTAAAGACTCGATTTTTACTCAGACCTTTAAGTTAATTAATTGTGTACCTCGAATGTTGAAGAGCTGGACAGGTTCGTCTCCTTTGGTGTAAACTCTCTCTACATATATGTCATCCTGGGTTCTGTTCATGGGTTTGTGCCAGCCATCAGGACCTCCAGGGTACCCCAGGATCAGCTTGTAGTCTCCTACTCTGAGACACAAGAATACAGACACAGATGCCAAACATGGTTATTTCTTTGCTTTGATAATCATTGGACTGCATTCAATGTCATGTGATATTGCATTTGAAGAAGGTAATTGATCAGTCATGTGAATATCCAGATCACTTAGGTAAAAGCCTGTTGACCGTAATGTTTTTAATGGAAAAGCATGTATGAACTACCTTATTCCTGCATGTCCTTCGACTGGAACTTCAAAGTCGTCAATGTTGTAGATAAACTCCGTTCTTGATGAGGGGAGACCGTTTCGAATAGAATCCCAGTGACTCATTCCATCAATGTTAGTTTCTGTACCCCAGATACAATGTAAGGCAGTAAACATTACATTGCCAGCAATTGTTCAGTTTATCAATTTAACAACACACACAAAATCATCTCGCTGATTCTTTCATGACTGCAAGTGTGACAATAATCAGGGACATCTGAAAGAGAATCTCCCTACCTGGAGTTCCCCCAGCAGCAGACACTAAGGTGGGCTTCCAGTCGACAGCGTGGATCATCCTGTTTAGAGGAACGAGCGATTCAAATATGAAATAAGCCACATGCTTAAATCCACTAAACATTGACTACAGCATTTCAATTAGTTTTAGTTTATGCACTAAATAATCAATAAGGGGTTTACAAATAATTTCATTAAAATTCAAATATACTATCATGCAGTAAAATTACTACAGCGAGATTACAGTTGTGTCTTTTATTAAAACACGGATTGTTGAGTTGGGTCTGATGGTATTATGTGGTATTACCCATCGTATGTCGTCCCTCTCTTCTGGAGTCCAGCACCGTACATGAAGGATGTCCCCCTCGTTCCCCCCTCCCAGATCGTGTGCTTCCCTCCTCTCAGGGGCCAGTTATTGGCATGCCCATCAATAGGGCCTCCATTCTAAATGATCAATATGTTTTATTCCAATGGAGCATGACATGATTAGCAGTTTCATGAAAGATATCCATCCAGATAAGAAATTCCACATGTAAGGAAACTTTATGTAAGCCTGTTTGAATAAATGAAGCAAATATGTTCAAACAGTTTCAATGTGAAAAGTGTAGTATTTCTAATGTTTCATAGAACTGATTTGTGGCTTGTTGAATTTTAACCATGGAATTGCACTTGTTTTTATTCATGATTTGAATACCATTACCAATGAATCAAAGATGTAATTTGCTGCCCATAATTGCAGAATGATAAGTCCTATTGGCATTGTTTCGGCAAGGTATATTTAATGTTCAAGAATAGCCAAAACTAGTTAGAAATAGTTAATTGAAAATTCACACTGATGTGACTACTTACATCTGTGGTGAATAGAATCAGAGTATTTTCAAACAAGCCCAGATCCTTAAGGGCCTGGGTAACATTACCCACTGCCTCATCCAAGGCAGACACCATTCCTGTTTGGAATGACAGTCGTGGGTCAATGGGTTGAACAGTACTTCAGATATGTCATGGTGTATGAACTGAATGCAGGTCTACAGAGATTCCAAAGACTCGAACGCCCGGTCAGAGGATCCTAACTCGCGTAAGGAACAGACACGGGTACGACTCAAAACTCAACAATAGTTATTGTAAAAGTAATATAAATTTAATCAAAACAAAAATTGATCAACAAGCTTTCTGAGATACAGAATATGAGGATTCAAAAGGCAGTTGTTTAAATATAATATTAAACGTCGACACCAGAGAATAATCAGTCAAGAAAGAGATTGAAAATGCAGACATAAACTTGCATACCACTGAACGTTCTTCGTCCTTCATTAATCACGTTCGGGTACATATCCTCATACTTCTTGGGCACCTGTGACGTCAAACGCTTGGGTACATTCATTGGCAAACGGAACATGTTCATATGCAATGTAATGCCATAAAGATACATAATCACCCTCAGTGACACAAAATCATGTCAGCAAAAAAACATTAATTGAAATGAGTTATTCCAATCGTATCTATCTATCTATCTATCATATGTACACACTCTCACTCTCTCTCTCTCTCTCTCTCTCTCTCTCTCTCTCTCTCTCTCTCTCTCACACACACACACACACACACACACACACAAATACACATACGTACATCATTCGAAAATAATAAAAGTGATAGGAATGTTAAAAAGACTGATTTATGCTGGAGAATGCAACTAAATTTCTTAAAATAGTTCATAGAGACATGTTTAGCATACACTTGGCTGACTTAATATCACGTACTCAGCTCACAAGAAAGGTTGATGGAATGTAATATGAAGACGTTTTCAATACTGTGACTTTCATTACCTCAAGAGGAGCATGCACGTTCTGATAAGGGAGGTACATAAACAGCGGCTGTGATACATTATGTCGATGGATGATGTCAACGGCTCTCTGGGCGAATGTGAACTAAAATGATAATATGCATGTATATAATCTTCAGACCAATTATATTTAACGATTTTCCGATGATTTAGATATGTTACAAAAAGTATGTATTTGGAAAGACAAGTGTGATTGATGTGAAAATTGTCAACTGCAGTTAAGAACAATTTGCCCTCGCATACTTACAGCAGAATATTCTCCAGAATAGTTTTTTGCCGGAAGTTCATTGTCCCTGTAGTCTAGATACCCTCCTGATCAAATATGAAGTAAACTTACATCAGACTATCTGCTGACAATGTTTAATTGAAACGTACATACATGAAACCAAGTTGTTAATACACTTCCTGACAACACGACAAGTAGAATAATTCTCACCAACAGTGTGAGTGAAGTAGTCTTCAGCCGCGTTATAATAACCAAAGTAAGTATCAAACCCTCGGAACGTTGGCGTACACTCCCACTTGCAGAAACCCAGGTGCCATCTGAAATTGTATTGCATATGATATTCATACACTTAGTAATGCAACTTAAGTATCATAGTGCATGCACTGTGGATTTAACATAAACACTTCTCAATCAATCTTAGAATGAGGATACACATCCCTGGTTGGTATCCAAAGGTCTAGTTATTATATTATGTCATGCTTTCATTTGGCCCAGTTAATGTCAATAGTTGTAAATAGCCTTATTGTAACACAACACCTACTTTCCGATCATGTGTGTAGCATAGCCGAGTTCCTTCAGTTCCTGGGGGAGGAATGTATAGTTGAGGGGCACACACACCGCTTGGCCATTCATCAGTACCCTATGCTGAATATGATTTTGTCTGTGTGAGAAATTCTTACATGTTCTCAGGTAATATATAATGAAATTCAGTTTCATCAGGAACGTGCATTATGAAAGAAGACTAGATGTAAATGAGTCATTTCACCCTTGTGGTAACTTGTAAACAGCTATAACGGTACGTCTTGTGAGATAGTGTATACTATTATAGAGCAGATCGAGCAATGAGTGAGATGGGATTAAATTGGAAATTATCCCTAAATACAGCTTACACGTTTTCGGGGATTTCCCGCTTGTGTCTTGATCTATAGTGTGACGATCTTGCTCAGTCCGATTATGCACATCTAGATATTAATATTTTCAATGACATAATTACCTGCATGCCGACATGGAAAGGAAACATTCCACTCATAAAGGCGGTTCGGGAACTGAAACAATGAGTGTACTGATACCTACATGTACATACCAGTATGTAGTATGGACATATTGTTACACAGGTAATTCAACAATACAGCTCCACCTGAAACCAGTTCATGCTTAATTTGTATCCGCAATTGTTTTTTGTTTTGTTTTTAAAAACATATACTTTATGTTTTGGATCTGATTTGGAAATTCGAAACTGCAACATACAACGAGTTAAATGGATAAGTGTATCTTTGGTCTGCGTGAACATGAAGTATATGAGTTTGAGATAATGTCTGCTGTTAGTTATATCTGTTTGTGTCATATTTTGTTTCAATGCAATTGAAGTTGCAATCAAAGTATTTTCTTATGTCTCAATAATTAAGTTTTCGTTGTGCTCATTGTTATCCCTTCATTCTGATTAGCTGAATTGGTCACGTGTTATTGCATTCATTTTCCAAAGAATGTAAAAAGATAAGCCACGCCCGCAGGGGCGTACTACTTTTATTACTACGGGATGTCGGGGATTCCCATTATTACAGACGAGTGAATCCCCTTTCGTCTTATGGTTACCGTCATCACAGGACAATTAGCGACATTCAGGCATGTTCATTGTCTACTCTTTCAGACCGAAAGTCGAGTAGGAATGAAACAGCAAACGTGCAGGCTCGCTCGCATGTTTTTCCCCTGCTGACCTAGGTTCCACAAATTCAATGTCTTTGGGTTTCAATTCGAACCAGCCTTTTTCCAACTATGTCTTCCCAATCTTAGGGAACTAATATTTTAATCTGACAGAACCTGACCATGTCATTTGAAACAGCCGCCTTCTCCCGGACATATTGTTTCGGTTCGTTACAGTATGACTGTTGCAGTTCTTTTCGCGGTCAATACATAGTCAATCCTTAATTAAAATAATAAAATAACAATTTACGGGCTGCACAGAGGCTGGACATATGCATTTTCGAAGATGATTCCTTCTGTGGCCAGCCTGTCGATGTTTGGGGTCTTCATGTCAGGATTCCGGAAACCAACATCATTCCAGCCTGTATGAAAACACAGTTTTCCCTGAACATTCGGCTTTGGCGTTTTCAATCACCATGTGAACATCTGTACTTTGAAATGAGACACATTTCGAGTGACATATTTAAGGAGGCATTTCGCTTTAAAAAAATTCTTTATGCCTTCACTATCTACACTCACCTAAGTCATCTGCCACAATAAAGACGATGTTAGGACGCTGTGCTGATGACAATGATAGGAAAAACAGGAACAGAGCAAGGAGCTGTTGAACATTCATTACTTTCGTTTGTCAAGCAGAAAAAAGACTGTTTTGTACTGTCTGCCTATATGTAGACACTTCAGTCTCATAGACCAGACTGATAAAGCATATTTATATCTCAGCCCTGACCTACATGCTCTGGTATTTGAGAAAATCACGTTTGTTTTAGGTTATTCGATAACATAGGAATGTTTTAACACACTTAATGAGATTTAGGGAACGTCGAGAGGTATATATAAAAATTGGATATGTGTATATATATATACGAGTGAAATATATGAGGAGATGAGTACAATATCGCATAGATTGGTAGCAACGACTTTGACATACATTCAGTCCTGTTAGATAACAAAAGTTTGTCGACATTTGTACTCTTCAGTGAACCCACAAGCAATGTCCAGCTGTATTCCGGCAGCATTTGAAATAAATATTCAGCCTGGACGAGATAAACCTGTGCGCACACTGGAGGGTTTGAATGGCAATGAGTTTTTCGTCACCGAGACGGACCCTCATGGATGAATTCAGTAATTTAGTCGTATTTTGCAGCATGCAGAGGTTTCTAGGTCCCTATTGAAATCTTGAACCACCACCGGACCCCGCAATCTGTGACACGTAATTGCCTAACCTTCGGAAAGTAAGGTTCTCCAGGTTAGTGTTGTGAAGATGTCTTTTGGGGCTAAGTTAGGAGTTAAGAATCCTTACTTAATTACACGGTGATATAAATACAGGTACATGTAGTCACTTTCAAATCTTAAAATCACTACAACCTTTGAAAACCAAGTTTGGATGCGAGAGAAATCATGCAATTCGTTTTTTAGCTTGGCAAGGCAAATGAATGGATTTGTCTGTTGTGTACACATATGTCATATGGATATATTGATAGTGTAAAACAAAGTTGAACAGATCCGGCTGATTTCTTCGACTTTATTATCATATTTATGTTTCATATATAATTTCCGTATCTTTTTGCACATGTCCTATTACGTGCTCAGCTTTAATTGCTTACAATGCTTGTTCAGAAGGGCCAATGGATTTCTGACTCCGAGACAACGGCTACAACAGTAGTCACGTCATCAAAATGATAAAGACTAAATATAAACATCACTCGACAATGAACTCGATTATCAACCAATACAGATTCTATCGGGCGTAAGAGAAAAACCGGTGGTAACACAATTATGAATGGATCGCTGAAGTGGTTGGTTGGTTGGTTGGTTTGTTGTTTAACGCAGCACTCAGCAATATTCCAGCTATTTGACGGCGGTCTGCAAATAATAGTGGCTGGACCAGACAATCCAGTGATTTATATCATGAGCATCGATCCACGCAATTGTGATCGATGACATACTTCAACCAAGTCAGCGAGCCTGACCAACCGATCCCGTTAGTCGCCTCTTACGACAAGCATAGTCGCCTTTAACGTCAAGTACATGTATGGGTTGCTGAAGACTAGAATTGGTCAGGTCTTAAGCAACCCATACTTGCCGTAAAAGGCGACTATGCTTGTCGTAAAAGGGGACTAACGGGATCGGGTGGTCAGGCTTGCTGATTTGGTTGATGCATGTCATCGATCCCAATTCCGTGGATCGATGCTCATGATATCAATCACTGGATTGTCTGGTAAAGATTCGATTATTTACAGACCGCCGTCATATAGCTGGAATATGGCTGAGTGCGGCGTTAAACACCAAACCAACCAACCAACCTATTCTACCCTGGATCTTCACGGGTTGGATCACTGAAAATCACGATGGATCACTGAAAATCGCGATGACATATAAAAGTTTCTTCCATAATAAGCAGCAGTCTTATTAATTCTGAGTGTGATAAAGTGTAAATTGAAAAAAAATGAGAGGTGCATTATAAATACAGCTACGAAGTACGTCTTCATATCAAAACAAGCTACATGATATGTTTTATGATAGCGAGCCACCACCCATGATTTGGCAGATAAGTTTATTATTTGATTGCATCATAGATTTGCTGGCTGGACACCTTAGGATGATGATTGGTGAGGTAGGTGTGACAGTGTTTGTGATTAAGGCAGTGCATTTCACAAACATTCCAGAGAGAATTTGCCCGACAGCTGAGATTTCATCAGCCTCAATGACTGGGTAGTCTATTGTCATATAACTGTTGTTAAACTTGGAATTATGCAGGATAATGTTACACTACGTATAGGACATTCCCGATCCTCACAATGCAATCGTCCCGTCCATAAACCGACAGAAACCTAAAATCCTTGCATATAATCAGAAAATATCAATGAAGCTTATGGATTGATAAATTGGAATACAAACTCATGCTCCAATCAGGACAATGTTACGTTCTTCGTTTTGTTTGTCCCCTCGCCAAGCTGTAAATCCGGGTCCTCGTAACTTGTAATGTCTGCAGTTCAGAACTAACAAACGCACACACGTAGTGTCTTTGTTACCCTGGACCCTTACTTGGATTGGAATCCGGGCCTTCGGTTTGAAAAGCCAAAGCTGCTCCAGTAACACATACCAGGGAAACATGTTTTGGAATTTGTTATCATTTACTCCATCAGTTATTACATTGCGAGAATGATAGCTAAAAGAGAGCTTGTGCTTGCTTTATTTGAGGCAATGGCTGCAAGTGTATTATGTGCACCTTGCATTTTAATATGTTGCTGTTGTTTTCTTATAGGCACTAGTGTTGATTGTAAATGGCAGCAATTTGGTTGAAACGCTCGTACAATCCCCTCCCGGTGTTGAGAGCTTGAGTGTGATCATTTTATTATCAGTTGTCGACATTTCCGGAAATGACAACACGGTTCAAGGCAGAAGCGCTACAGAAGGCTGGATGTACCTATATAAGAGCGAGCCGAGTGTGATTCGAGGCCTTCATTTCATGGCATCACTTGCTTTTCATCTACTTGTCTACTGCCGACGGGACACCTGTCGGTACAAAACGACTTTTTGTCTGCTTCCAACACTGGAATCAAGAACGGAAAATGTGCCACATTCAGGGCTTTTAGTTGTGACAATAACTGGACATTCATGAGTGCACTGACTTGTGTGATGGGGCCTTCTATATATATTGCCACATATTTGACCTATTGTATTGTCTTTTATGATTGAAAACCGAACCATGAGAAATTTTCATTTCTGTTTTAATTGCTCATTGGTCTAGTGTGGCTATTTATTGATTGCACAATACAGTTGTATGACTGTATGAAGTACACGATACAACTGCATGAAGTGATTTCTGGGTTAACCATCAAGTTTAAGTATGAAAATCACCACGTTACATTAATGATAATAATCGCCTGTTTGTCGCTGTTGATTTATTCCATCACTCATGGAGTTAATATGTCCGCTTTGTTATTAACAGTTTTTATCTCGTGTTTCTGTATTCACAATTAACACGTTTCTGTTTATGTGGCGTGGATGGCAAAATGAAACCCATAGATAAATTGCTTTCTATCTATTTTTTTTACATTTATTTATTATTTCCCATATACATGTACAAATACAGCAATAAGCGTCATCTACATCGCAGAATATTCATACCAGCATAAGCATTTTCATGTAGATCAGAGGGTTCCAACAGTGTTTATATACACATACCGGATTATTAGAATCTTGGTCGTTTCTCTTTTTGAAAGGGATATATTTATATCACTTCTTTAACTGGACATTTGAAGATATTTAAGTGTTTTGTAATGTAAATTGTATGTGTATGTTAATTGTTTTGCTACCAAATGATTGTATTAAAAGGTTTATTATGTTTACCTTTAAAGCTAAATATGATATTTTCCTCAGTTAATCTTATGTTTCTTTCACTAATTGTATTGAGCCATACTGGCATAGCTTTCCATATCTTTTCAACATTTTTGCATTCACATAATAGAGGAATAATTGTTCCATCTGTACTTTCGCAAAAGGTGCAGGATGGAGATTCGATGTAAATTATCTTGTATAAGAACACATTTGCTGTAATGATATTTTGTATTACTTTGCACTCCTAAAGTGAGATTGGGATATTCATTGGCTATGCATGGAATAATTATTCTCCGTCTCTCACAGTATCTAGCTGTGGATGTTCTAATACTTTCAAACTCAACAAAATTACATTTTTTTCTGTAATTCAGCAAACTTACATATATATCCTTTGTCCTTAACGTAGTCTACCCCTTTACTGTGCTACTGAGGATAAAACACAATTTTATTATCCACGGTAATGTTATTATTTTACCATATTGACTTATTTATAAATTCTGCCAAGTCTGTGATACCATGGGTTTTTTTCTAAATAGTACGACTACGCAGTGAATACATCTTACCAAACTTTGTTTGAAATATTAGGTACAATATGTCAAGTCATGTATTGTGAATCCGCCAGCCATATTCTATGAGCATTTGGGACCAGAGGTTCATATCTCTATTTATCTTTTCGATTTCTTCTTGATAATTAAGTTGAGTCATTTCATCTAAAGTCTACATCATGATCAGACCCGTGAAGATCCGGGGAAGAATAGGTCTTCAGCAACCCGTGCTTGCTGTAAAAGGCGACTATGCTTGTCGTAAGAGGCGACTATCGGGATCGGGTGGTCAGGCTCGCTGACTTGGTTGATGCATGTCATCGATCCAAATTGAGTGGATCGATGCTCATGATATTAATCACTAGATTGTCTGTTCAAGACTCGATTAATTACAGACTGCCGTCATGCAGCTGGAATATTGCTGAGTGCGGCGTGTAAACAACACACACACCGAACCAAAAATCTAATGACCTTATCATTACATTTAACCGCCTTCAGTCCTTTTCACTCTTTTGGTTACATGTTTTCTTGAAAGAAATTGTTTATTTTTTAAGCACATATGATAATATATACTATCAAAATTACTTTACGAACTATATTCAGTGTGGTTAGAATGGCGGCAATAAGTTCTTGTAACTGATGCATGTCCATTGGACAGTCTCTTATGGTCCATTTTGTCTTACTTCACGAAAACTGTTGAGCTTTTAACCGTGTTCCGTAAGGACATTTTAAGGATGCACAGAACCATTGACATGAGACAATGCTGCAAGTTTCTGCTTTCTTCCCTTAAAGGA